CCTCATTGTTCAGGTTTCATTACTTTCCCTTAACCTATAAACCATATTTCTGTTATCTTCAAGTGGAAAAAAATGTTTAACCAGTTAGTAAGTAAAAGTTTCCCCCGCGTTATAATTTTGTTTTTCCTCCTCTTACAAAGCGAAAGCAGACATGCGACTCTTTACTTCTGACTCATTCATATATTTCCCTTTCTATTTCATTCACAGGCTGTAGGATGCTGCTTCTGTTTCCTCCTGAGGTACTTACTTGCTGGTTGGTATAAATAAGGCAGCGGCATTAAAGAGCTGGAAAATCTCATCCTAAAAAACATTTGAGTTGTACTTTCTATACATCCTTCGGTGGAAACAAATGACCTGCGATTTTGGACATTGTTCGGGAGCGAAAACTGACAATGGTATTGAAGCATTAATGTACTTTTTGTGAGATCACCATGCGACTACATCTTGTATTTGTCTTAATTTTTCTGTTCAGCTGTCTTTTTGACTCTTGGGCTACATAAGATTTGTGAAAAAATGAAACCGTGGCTCAATATCATTTGGACAGTATTTAGAATGCTAGTGTTAGAAAACAAGCTAGCACCCTGAGTTCCAACGTCTGAATTTCCGCCATATACCTATATCCAACACCATTTCACTTTCTTACAAGATCATGAGAGCGCCGAGGATAAAAGAACATCAAGATTTAAAATTTTGAATATTTATAGGAAATAACTTATTTGAAAGCATTGCTGATCATAATATATAAAAAAGGGATACCACTTTTATTTAATTAATTAAAGATATAATCTTTAAAAAATATCTAATTAAAGATTTACGTTTTTAATTTTACTATTTAAAAATTAATTTGATATTAGTGCTAAGTAGGTAGATGAATTCCATGTGTGAGACCCCACTTTGACTCCTAAATTTGTTCGACGTGTCAAAAAAGATTTGGAGAATGTGGCAGAAGTGTTGCAGTACCGTATAGGTGTTGACACCAACGAAGGTGACGTCGGCACCCAACCCGTGCCGGGTTTTGTGGATCTTTTTGCAATTTTTTGAAGGTAAAATATCACATCTGTGTTCTCCTTTTTCTATTTTATGGACACTTTGGTACTTAAACTTTAAATTCATTCATTTAGGTTTATGATTGCAACCTTTCTCCTTGCCATATAGTTCCTCAATTTTAAAAAAATTTCACTTAATTCCAAAACTTTTTCTCATTGAAGTTCACTTTAACAAATAATGATAATTATATAAAACCCGTGAAAAATCATAAAAAAGCTACTAAACTTAACAAGACATACCATATAAATTTGTTAAAATCAATTTACTATTTAAATATATCATATAAATTGTTTTATACAAAAATTTATAACTTAAAATAAAACTTTAAATTTTAAAGTATATGGCCTAAAATTATATAAATTGAACTTTCTTGATAATAATAATATATACAACTAGACACTTTGCAAATGAAGGTGGGTTAAGCTAATTTCTTTTATGAGTTGGGAGTACCAACTGGCAAATGCTTTATCAAATATATACAAGGAGTTTTATCTTTTATTTTTTTCACAATTTTATCGGAACTTAGTTATTTTTCATAATTTTTCCATGAGTTTTTTAAGTTTTTATAAAACATGTTTTATAAAAGGTCACATAACTTTACATGATTGTAACATAATTGTAATATAATGTCTTAATTATTAAATTAACTTAAGCAATTGAATTATATATTTAAATGTTTAAAA